AGACCACTCATCCTTGTGACAAGTTGGACTATCAAAGGCTTAGATCATTTTCTATTTCTGCACAAATCAATACAATTTCATATCATTTATACCTACCGAAATCAATGAAAATCCATTTAGTATTCTATGTGTGTCTTCTTAAACCATATAAGATAATGGATATAGCAAGAAGAAGACAAGTTCTACCTCCTCCTATAGAAGTGGATAATAATATAGAGTTCGAAGTGAAAGAAGTCCTAGATTCAAGGCGACACCAAAATAAATTAGAATAACTTGTCTATTAGCGCGGATATGATATTAATGAACGCACATGAGAGCTAATAAAGAATCTTACAAATGCATCAAAGACGGTGGAGGCTTTTCATCGATGACATCTATCAAAATCAAGATGAAAATCTCTTTTATAAAAGAAATAAGATCTAGGAAAGTTAACATTCTATTTTCAATCCTTGTTTATAGCTTCTTTGTAGTTGTGATGCTGAGGAGATGGAGAACCAACAACCAGCAAATTCAACTCAAGAACCTTTGTTTCTAACTTGCTAGACGAGACATTACAATTGTCACAATCTTCAAGATAATGCAATCAAGATGAAGATCTTTAAGAATGACATGTTCTTATTGAAATAGATGGCGAGATACAATGCATTTGGTATCACAACCTTGGAAGGGACTCCCAATGTTTGGTGATTTTACTAGAGGTAGGAATAACTTCTGACAATGTTCCAAATGTTTTATTCGAAAGAAGTTATAAAGGCCTCAAAAATGACCAAATAATTGGGTGGTCTTCCTACCCTGGTATGGAAGACTATCGATAGTTGAGAGGCCCTATCAATCATCTTCAAAGAAAACAAAGATCAGAGTATAAGGTGAATACAATTTGTTGCATTATAGATTTCTTTAACATATGATGACCACTCATCGTGGAACTTGTCCTTACAAGGAGAAGTAATGTCATGGACATATGCATGTAAGCCAATAATTACATGTATAAATAAGTAGAAGTAGATAAAAGTAAGTTAATTCTATAATATTTACTATAGAAGTTTTTTAAAAGCTTTATTGATGCTGCTTTGACTTTATAGGTATCTTTAATTGACTTTTTGGATTAGAAACGTGGTCAACAAGTTGGCCATGTGCCACACATGTTGTTAGCTTGAAGACCAAGGTAACTATGTCACCCACACGTAGAAAAACTTGCCTTGTAAGTCAAAGCATGTGTCCTACAAAGTCAACATATATTGGAGGTCCTATAGAATATCATCACATAGCCCCTAGTTAGATAGTATATATAGAGACAAGAATGAAGCCCTCTTCACTCTTGTCAAGTTCTTTCTTGCTTCTAGTCTAGTTTGAAGGGTCTCTAGTTTTCTTGTCTTTTGGCAATAGCCATTCCAGTTTCTTTCTTAATATACACATTGAGTTATTTCTATTTTGTCATCTTTCTTTCAGAAAAGTCTCACTTGTTTATTTGTTTTTATCAAGTTCTTGTCCTTGACAAATACATAGATTGCTATGCATAAGGAATTGTTTCTTGTTGCTTATATAAATATGATTCATCACTTTGGTAATTCTATAATCTTTGTAGCAGATGATATGCATTACATGGTTAAGCAATATCTTGAATCAAGTTTGACCTACTTGACATATGCTAGTCTGCGCAACTTTGTATTAAGAATATTCATAAGAAATATGTGGTGAAATACTCTTATAAAAAGATACACATCTTGATATTTATCAATCTAACTCCTTACCATGAGATCTTTTTAGATGTCAATGGATTAAACTTTTAGTATACATTGAGAAATATATATATATATATATATATATATATGAGCATATAAATTTTAAATTGTAAGTGGTTAAAAAATATAAATATTAATACTCATTATTTAATGCATTCTAGGTTAAACTTGTATATTTGCATGTCATAGGCAATATTGAACCTTAAATAAGGATCATTACTACAACACTTGGTTTGCCATGCTCACATGAAATTTAAACTATATTGTATGAACAACGACACTTTAACCTCAACAACTTTAGTTACTATTGACACTTACAAAAACCAACAACAATATCTTTTCTTTATAAAAAAAAACTCACTTCTTTGTAAGACATGCTAGAACAAATTTTTGCAACCATCATTAGCCTTCTTCTACATTAATAAATATATGCACTTGTGGAACTCTAAACTATTTCATAACAAGAGCTACAACCTATTGATAAATTGTAGAAGATATTGACAAGAAAGAGCTTGGTGTAGAAGAATGATACAAAAAGAAATCGATTTAGATTTGATTATACTTGATGCAAAGCATTGACAATGTCTTACAATATATTTAGTATTATTGGACATTTGCAAAAAAAAAAAAAGGTGGTCACAATTTAGACAAATAATAGTAGGATTGGAACTTACAATGGAACTAGAGAGTTGAGGGAGAAATATAGGACTTGTAGTGAGTTTAGGAGTTGTGGCTAAATTAAGAAATTAGAGAAGAAGTCAAAGATTTATGAGGGGACAAGAAAGAAAGAGAAGAGGTCTAAGTCTTATATTGAGACAAGAAAGAGGAGAAGTATATTTAAGACCTATATCACTATATTTAAACAAAGAAACTAATCAAAAGCCTTGTATGTGTATATCAACATAATAGATGTGCATATAACAATTTAGATAAAAATTAATTAGAAAAAATATGAATTACTCAAAAAATATGTATCTATATATTAAATTACATATTTAGGTGCATTGTTGTGTTATAACACAACTATAAGGTGAAATAGGAAAATATGAATTATAGTTTAAAAAAAAAATTGTAAAAGATAGAAAGACAAGAAATGCAATTAGTGTTAATGATGATTTTTTTGTAAAAAAGAGTTCTATTTATTTTATAGGATTCTAAATAAGGCATATTTAAATAAAAAATTTAGCAAAAATTAAGTTTGAAAACTAGAAATTAATATCTAAAAAGGACTAATTATAAACTAGGACAAAAACCAAATCTTGAGGTACAAAATTGTGTACCTATGGCAATTTTGAGATTCTTTTGTTGATCAAAGAGTAGAGCTTGAGAACAAAATATAAAAAAATTCCTCAAGAATTGATTTAGGTGATTTGAATTTTAATGACTTTCTAAGAATTTTACAAAGTCAAGGTTGTTTTGAGGTGACTTTGGTTTTTTTGAAATAAAAATGGTTTATATTTTGAAATATTTTGTGAAATTTAAAATAGATCCATAAGTAAAAATTTACAAATTTTTTATTATTTTGAGTTAAACATGTATTGTAGGTTTAAGCATGATTAAATAATTAAATTAAAAGATATTAAAATTTAAATGAATTGAAATCTTAAAAATTGGATACTAGAAGGTTAATAATGTTTTTTAAGATATTCTATAATTTTCCAATTGGATTGAAGTGAATTTTTATAAATTATTAGAAAACTTAATTATGAAAAATTTGAAAGTAATTGGATGATGAAAACAAGAGATATTGGTGTTGAAAGATCAACATTAGGATTTGAAAATAAGTCTAGTTGATATCCAAGTAGATTATAAGGTTTTTATTTTATTTGGTAAATTTGATCCTCTTCGAATTCTTTATGTGTATTTTTAAATAAAAAATTAAAAAATATAAATTTTTTGAGTCAAAATCAATAATTTAATTATTAGTTATTAAGGTTTTGAATCTATAATAAGATTTAGTCGGAATTACTTAGGTTTTCTTTGATATTTGATTAGAATTTATTAAGAATTTAATAAGGTTTTTTTTTTTTTTTTTTTTTTTTTTTTTAATTCTATCAGATTTTTATGATTTTTTAAAAATTTCTTTAAGATTTCTATAGAATTTTATTAAGATTTGATTAGGATTGTTAAGATTCAATTGAGATTTATTTAGGATTCTATTTGAGCTTTCACATTCTTTATTATTGAAAAATTTAAATTTACCTTCAATAGCCAAGTGCCTAATGCATTCTATCAAATAATATCAATAAATAAAATAGATTTCAAACAAATATATTATGACCTCTTTAAACAATATTCAAATTCAAATATTGAAATAAGTAAATTTATGATTTCCAGTACAAAATGAAAGTTTGTTAAAAAGGTAGTAATTCAAGACTTGATTTTGAATAAAGTAGTTACCGCAAAAATAATAAATAATCATTATTTCGGAAAAAAGAAAAAACTATCAAGAAAATTCATATAATTTAGGTATTTATCAAAAAAAAAATTTAAAAATCGACATAAAAACTATTTTAAAAACACAACCATATAATAATTATTAGCATATATTATTAAAAAAATATATGGACATCCATGTGTTCATATATTTATTTAGGTACAATAAAAGCATCCTAAAACTTCCACTACTAAACTGTTACTGATAATCTGGGAAACAATGCTAACAAACATATTAACAAAAATTTGTCTATTTGAATACTTTTGTATTCATTTGGAGGGCCATTTACTATCGATGTGTTTGTAGATTTGAAAAACTATTTTTAGATGTGTATAATTATCCACGTTTTGTCAACGATTGAAATCCAACACTCGAAACTGGAGAACAGTTTGTGCACGATGAGCTGAAGCCTACAAAACTGGCCACTCCCATTTGATGCAATGACCAGAGCTCATTTGAAACCATCTTCGTCAAAAACAAGAGTACTCGTCCATGCTTGTGTTCTTTCGTCAAGACAACCATACATTCATAAACTGCAAACACATCGTTCAATCCGTGTTCGTATTCATCGATTTAAACAAACCAAAACATAGTCGAGGTGGATGCCCTGATCTGAGAACGAATATAAGTGCACGAGAGAGAGAGAGATGGAATTCCGAGTAAAGTGCAACCCCAGCCGAAAAAACAATGCAAGCACTTACCGCACCTGCCTCACGCTAAGTAAGTGTAACCGCCACCAGATCCGATGCATTCCCATTCTGCAAACAACAATCGACCTGCACTGCCATCGCAGGACCTTCATCCCCACCATGAATCAGACGTCCCGTCACAAGGCGGCTTGTCAATCCACAACATCAATGAATATATTATCCTCTTCAGGTGGACCCTCGATAACATAGTCCATGTATCATGTCTTCCAATCTACAGCTACCCACAACCAGCTTCACAACTGTGTACAGACACAGATAAAAACGTATAAGACGCCTTCATGACCACACTACAGTACCACTTTCTCTGAACAGGACCTCCGTGGGTCACAGATTCAATACGGCCCGAAAAATAGCATGCAGCCCTGGCGCCTCCGAGACCTTCACCAAATTATCGCACCCTGCACCGGCAGAGATGCCCGCAACCCACCCCGTTCTCGTCGTTCGCATCCCGCAAACGTCAGCCCGTGCTCTGCCTCTCACCTCATTGTGGACGTAACCTCGGCTTCACAAGCTTCACCTAGCACAACGAAACCCACTGGACCAAAGCCACTCGGCAAGGTTCATCCCCGCGCCTTCAGAGTATCACCTTCCACGCCGTCGGTTTGCAGCGTTTCTGGGAGGATTCCAATCAACGAACCCCTCAGGTGTGTCGCAGCCAACACATCATGCGACGACCAAGAATAACACCCTCGACCTGCCTTCTCCAGATATCTTCCCTTCAAATCGTCTCTCGCTTTCCACCGCGCCCCTCATCCAAAAGACGCACTGCTCGCATGCTTCACCGCAATGCTCGGTCCCTCGTTCTTGATGAAACCGCTCGAAAGATTGTATGCGCCGCGCTGCATGTACTCGGAATGCATCTGCTCCTGCGAAGCCTGCTGCTGCTGCTGCGCGGGGTTGTTCAGACCCGATTGCGCTTGCTGCAACTGTTGCGAATTGAACGCTTGGTTTTGCATCTGGAACAGATGCTGCCCGCCCATGCTCAAATTCTGCACGCTCCCGTTGCTGATTTGCCCCGTTGCTACCTTCAGCCGCTGGACCTCCTCTCGCAATGCTTCGTTCAAAGCTGCACGTCACAAACGACCAGTCAATTCCAACACCTCCATCTTCGCCAACGCACCCTGCTCCTTCACACAACACGCCTGAACACGGCCCCACGCCCCGCCGCGACTTGTCACCCAAAGCAACCCCACACGAACTCGCCCATTGTGCCCACAGCCAAACCGCCCCACGAGACACGCTACCGTTCCTGGAGTTTCTGCGGTCCACGACCACGTCCTGACCCTCGACACAAACGCTTTCACCGTAACCTATCTCAAGGATTGTATCAAATGCGTTATGCACTGCCGCCTTGCCCGACGGCTCCCAGTCGTTCGTTACCAGGAGATGCGGCATCGACCCACGCTCAACTAGTCCAATGACTTGCTCTTCTGATCATCCCAACTCACGACAAAGCCTCGCCTTCTCGCTTCTACCTCGAACCGTTCCACTCAAAAACACATCTGGTGTACCCATACCCACGCGTTGCTGAACACATCCACGCCAACTGTTTCCCGTGTGCGCGGTCACTCACACTCCCTGCCAGCATCCGGTAACAATCACCGCAAAGAGTGCTGGAGGAACGTACCGTCGCGTAGATGAGCTTGTTGCTCCATAGCCTGCAGCCGCAGCTTCAGCTCGTTGTTCTCCGTTGCCAGCCCCGTTGTATCCTTCTGCAACCACAGCCATGCACTTTGCTTTACATTCTTGGACCAGACAACACGAACACGATTCAGCCTCACACGTCAGGGGCTGCTCCGGCGGCTGCAATGCCCCTAAACATCAAAACAACCTATCCGAAACCCCTCACGAACAACCACCGACCGGAAGCCCGGTGACAGCACCAACACGTCTACACAAGTCCACGATTTCGCACACAAACCTGCAACATTGCGAGCTGCGTGGAAAGCGTTGTGGCTTCCGTCTGCAAACCCTGCACCTTGCGCTCAAGTTCTGAGATGTAACGCATCTTCCGTTCCTTGGAACGTGCTGCCGATTGCCGATTCGCCAAAATCCTGAACCGTAACGTACTTCATGTCAGACGACCGAGCCACAACCCTGATCCACTACTCAGCTCGTCCCTCAACTTCCCCACTCGGCCTCACACCACACAACCGAATAACAACACCCCGCTCTCACCAACATCCACGCATGCTACTGTAGCCACTGCAGTCCTGACCACCCACAGACTGCACCCCGTCTCACTGAGCTCGGACCCCACTTGCGCCCGCTGCCTACCAAGAATTACATCCCCTCCCATGCGGAATCACGGCACCAAATTGCACCACAGAAACGAAACCCCGTCCAGGCACACCACGGGGACAATGTCTGAACACGGGCAAACGTACTAACACTCAATCATGCCGCGCATTCCAATCCACGCTTCCGTCCCCGCTCCTCTGCAGCTGCCCTTCGCGTCACTGCCATACCCATGGCTCGTCACAAACATCCCTCCCCTCCCTCACCCGTGCTGTAACCGACACAGGAAGACGGCTCATTGGAATCTCACCTCTTCGCGCGCTTGGGATCAATCAGCGCTATCTCCGAAAGCTTTGCAGACGCCATCACTTTCTTCGTATCCCCCTCGAAATCGCCCGACAACAGATCGTGCCTGAAAGAAGTCGATCCGTCCATCGAGCTGCTGTGCCCGTGCCGCGGCCTTCGAGCCTCCGATGGCGCCGAATTGTTGCCCCCGCCCCCGCCCACGCCCACGCCCGTCCTGTTGCCCGCCAAGTTCCCCAGACTCCCATCCGCGGACAAACTCCTCGCATGATGGGCGGAGGGAGCGGGTGCATTGCTCCCTTCACCACCCGCTTTCGCACCCGCTTGCCCCGATGTCCCACTCATGTTGTTTATCTGCTCCATGTCAATGTACATCGAAAACAGATCCTCCGCGCCATCGTCAGAAAGTGTCGGCATTTCGGATCCGTGCACGCCCAGCTCGCTCTCGAAGGACGCATCGTCTGGAAGCCGGAATGCGATTTCCGACTGCGCACGGCGGTGCCCTCTTCGTCGGGGAGGAGTGTCCGGCATCTGGTTCACATCTGTGCTAAAATTGTGCCCCGGGCTGGGCATCCGCGGGGGCTGCCCCGACCCCGAAATGCTTGCAGGACTGGCCGAGGTCACAGCGTCTTGCATGTTCACCTCCAGCGAATAAGACTCTCGCGATCTCATCGACGTCTCCGACACGGACGGAGACGTCTCCCTCTTCACCGTGAACGGGTGAGAGGTCGACGGATACCCGACATAGCGCGACTGGTGGAGCTGAGACTGGGAAGGATGCGGAGGGTGCGCGGCAATATTGCTCGTGGAAGAGCTCCCAGACCCCTTGCCCACGCTCGTCGCACCAAATTCCGACTGCAGCCGTTCCACAAACGCATCGTAGCCCTTGCCCAGACCCTCCATCGCGCCCCGCGTCCGAGCCCTCCCGCTGCGACCTGCCCTGCTCTTCACCCCGTAAACGGAGAACCCTCAACCCCACTCGCAACAACTGCAACCAACCCAAGGCGCGCCCTATGCTCAGCGACCTCCTCCAGCAGCTTCGCCCGTGAAACTACCTACGCCCGTATCGGCCAGACGCCCTCAGCATGATACCCTGTCATTCCTAGTGCATCCCCGTTTCAGGATCCCCTCCGCACGGCACCAACTCCTTCCGCCTACCTCCTCCTCCTCCTTTAGCAGACTCGGGGCGCACTGAGCGCACCAGATCAAACCGCAGCACCGCAACCCCCTCCTCGAGACACAGAAACATCAAAAATTGCAATGGTCTGCCAGGCCCTCCACGCAATTCTTTACAGACACAAGGGAAGCAAGCGGAGAAACCAAAAGAGGGAAAACAATTCAAACCAGGACAAAATCGGGGCACGAGCAGCCAGACCCGGACCCCAGCGTGGCCCCGAACACCGACCCGACCCGGCACTCTCCTCAAAGCAAGAGAGGCGACTGCGATCTGGAACCAAATCCATCATTCCCCCGAACACCGTGAAACACGCCGGGAAGACCAACCCCACCTCGCCCCTTTTCCACTCCCCCTCCTCTCCAGACCTCTTCCCCCCCCCCCCCCCCCCCGCGCCACCCACCCTCTACTGAATACTGATGACCAAGAGTACAATTTTGCCTTATTGATTCTTATTAACCGTGAGTAACATCATTTGTTGGGGGACACCAACTTGCACTTTTTAGGGTCGTATACAAGCCTGATTTCATTTCTGTAAATTCTCATAATCATGATTATGCCTGCTTTCACCGTTAATGAATTCAATCGTTCATTTTATGAGTCTACACTCTTGTTGAAGTGAGCATCCATTCATGATAGTTTGTACTGCGATCCGTTAACATTCCAGTTAGCAATCCATATAATGGTTTGGATTTTTGAAATTCTTTGTATCGGTTATGAAATGTTTTTAACATAATTTATGTTTTTCCTTAAACTTAAGAATATGTCATTTCATGAAGAAGAGGTAGAAAAGAATGGACAGCAATTTTTTGAACAGTTCTTTCCAAGGTTTGGGCCAATTATTCCCATCGTTTGTTATTATTTCTTATCTTTGATAATCATTCAATTTGAACATTTTAACATAGCACCACCCATCTTTCTATGATTATCTTGTATCGCCACTTATGGTATAAATATTCCATGTAACTTTATTCATATTGAGATACTAAGTTATAATTATCATCTTTTTTTATTATGATCTTTAGCTTCTTTTTCCAAACCTTAATGTGTTTTTAATTACTCATAATTACTCCACTTCCATCACAACTTTCATTTCAAATGCGTCTGCGTCATGTTATGAATTATTCACCCTCAACACTACAGTACGTATTAGGTTTCTGAAGACTTCATAACCAATCAGTTAATGGAAAAGTGCATTGACTTGGCCAAGGATTGCCATATCTTTATAATACATGTTATTGATTCCTGCGCCTTCCAATCTTGTTCCGACTGCTGAAGCTCACCAAAGTTGTCACGAGGATCTTGCCAAACTCAAAGCTAGCAAGCAGGATTTCTCATCTCAGTCAGAAGAGGCTAAACTGAATCCGCAAAAGAATATGAGAAATCAGCTTTGGAATCACCTTCAAAAACGTTTCATTATTTCTGGATTCCTATCAGTACATAGGCACAACCTTCGGTGAAGGTATGAGATTTCTAGACCCTTCAGGATAAGGAAAAACTGAGAGCCCTGTTCCAGGCATTCCTGTCTGCACCACTACACCCTGGGGTCAATTGTTTATGACACATTGGACTTGCGGTAACCCTTCTGAGTCAACACAGTTTCTAGAATTTAGTAGCGATACTGCATCTGTTGCAATTACAACCGCGACATTAGTGTCAAGAGAGAATATTTGAACATGGGGCATCTATGTTCCGTAATCAGTTTTAAGGCAAGCCAGAGAAGTCATCCTAGTTGTGAGCTGATCATCCGGCTCACCTCCTTGATTAGATACTTGTGTAAGCACCTGTGAAAACTCTCTGCCATCTACCCTAAGGATGAAATTGAATGGATGTGCACTGAAGCAAATTTGAGATTGGAAGGAAATAAATACCACAAAACACGTTAGCAGCAGCAAATTCTATCACCTAGTGTAACGAGTTAATTATGTATGCTACGCCAAATCACTGAAACTACAGAACCCAACTAATTATAATGAAGCTTTGAAACTAATCTCACAGTGCCCCTCTCATCCTGCTTCGGAGGTGCTGAGCTTTTCGTGGCCACTGGTTGCGATCAGGGCTGACCATTTCAGTCACAGGTTTTGGACGTGTTGAAATCATGACGGAATGAGAGGATCTCTCCACCTAATTCCCTCACGGTTGCAGTGCTAGTTCCAATCGTAGCCTTAGGCCTGTTTATTCGATCTATTCCTGGGGCTGAATCGGTGTTCCTTCAAGTTCACCAGTACGACTCTCAGTGTGTGCTATTGATCAAACTGTGATCGTAGCAAAGCTCCAGATTCCTAGGGTGTAGTGGCAATCACTCCTATGCAACCCTTGATTCCATAGACCGATTTCTTAATCCCGTGGTAGACAGACTTCCAATATGAGAAGCAACTTTCTGGAGTAAACTGCGTTGTCGAGGATGTTAACATTCAAGCACGTAGATACTTCGAGCAAGGGTTGAAGATTAAAGAGAAAGATGGTGGCAAATTGCTGCTGCTCCAACCTGCTGCTCCATTTGAATTGGATTGTTATCGACCTCAAGGATATGTTCACTCATCTGAAAAGGATTTAGTACTGTTGAATTAATGCAGCATTGCTTGATCAGGTTTGCTCAGGTTTTAGAGTTATTTTGCAATTTTGAAAACCTCCTATTTTTTATATTGTAGATTTTTTGAGCATTATAAATGTATCATTAGGATCACAAGCATCAAAAACATGTAGGTGGATCAACTCAAAATTTTGAAAAAACAAAGAAAAATCAAAGTCAATTCAAGAAAAAATAAAATAACCAAGTCAAAGGTCCTATATCTAAAAATTAAAAAAACTTCTAGAATATTGTGAGTCCATCATTAAATTTTTAGACTTCTAAAATAAATTTTTAAAAAAATAGATCAAATTAAAACTTATAAAAATTTATCTATTTGTAAAGTCAACTTAAAACTCAAAAAGGCCAAATCCTGAATTTTCACAAATCTATACATTTTTAGAATAGTTCAAACATATATTTGCAATAGATAATTTCTAAATGCAGTTAATAGTATTTTCAAAACCCTCAAAAAATTTTCTGTAACAAAATTCAAAATCCTAAAACTGAAATCAAAGTTGTTATATCTTATAAATTAAGAACTTATAGAACAAGTTATTTATACCATTAAAATTATAGATATCAAAGATGAGAGGTAGATTAAGTCAAAATCCAAAAATAAATGGGTCAAAAAATTGAACACATTTATATAATTCTAAATTCTAAATCTTAAATCCTATATTCTTAACTTTAGATTTCTAATCTTAAATCTGAAATCCTAATCTAAAATTCTAAACTTAAATCCTAAATTTTAAATTTAGAAGATAGGTCAATTTAAAATTTATAAAATCCTATTCATTTACAAAATTAATTTTAAATTTTAAATAGTTAAATCTTCAATATTCACAAATTTATACACTTTTAGAGCAATCCAAATACATATTTAGAATTTTTAACTTCCAATGCATCCATTGATCTATTCAAAAATTCAAAAATTCTTCTACAACAAAAGTTAAAATTTAAAGTCTAAGTTAGAGTTACTATACCTTGCAAATTAAAAACTTATAAAATAAGTTATTTACATTGTAAGAATTATAGACTCCAAAAACAAGATTTTTTTAATTTAGAATTAAAAAAATAAGAAGGTCAAAAAATTGAGCACATTGATATAATCTTAAATCCTAAGTTTCAAACATTGCAAAAGACCAAGCTTTATTGGTTATATATGCTACACATATTTTTTATAATAAAAATACTTCAAGCAGACTTCTAATCTAATATAAGGATTTTAAAGATGTATTTGATAAGATGAATGCAAATATATTTTTTAAAATATTTTTCTTATAATTGTTCAATTGATCTTCAAGAAGGAGCTCAACCACTATTTGGACCAATCTATAGTTTGTAACAAAATGAATTGGCTTTACTTAAAGAATATATTAATAAGAACTTATATAAGAATTTCATATGCTAATTAAAATTTTAAGCAAATTCTCTAATCTTGTTTGTTACAAAAAGTGATGAATCACTTTAGATGCATATAAATTATTAAAGACTTAATAAGATTACCATTAAGAATAAGTGTCTTCTTTGAAGAACATGAATCACAAAATAATCAAAGAGTCAATACATTCTTGTGTCACTAGAAAATAGTAGATATTTATTCAAAGAGAGTTAAAATATTAAAATTATAATAGCTATTACCAAAGACAAGAAGACTAGAGATTCTTGAAATAAGACAAAGTACAAAAAAGATGTTGACAAAAGTGAGAAAAGCCTCACTTTTGCCTTCATATATACTATCTATTTAGGGAGCTATGTCGCAATGTTCTATAGATTAGATAACATGTATATAATTTGTAAAGCAAATTTCCAATACATGCATAACATGACCAATATGTATGATATGTGATCAATTTGTAAACTAAGTAGTCAATATATTTGACATGTGTCCAATGTTTTGGCCAAGTTTTCAACCTACCAATCATCTATCAATATTTAGAAAGTCAAATCAATAAATATTATTGCATCTACTTACTTCTATTTATTTCTACATAATTCATTTAATCTAGGTAATTTCTAATGTAAATATTTATGTTTGTTATATTATCCTCCTCCCTCCCCTCTTCCTTCTATATACAAGTTCTACAATGAACAATAATCACATGTTTCAAAAGTCAAAGATGTAGTGAATTATATTTGCCATACACTCTAATCTTTGTTCTTATTAAAGGTAGTTAATAGGTCATCTTAATTATTGATAAAGTCTTATACTAAAGCAAGAAGACCACTCCATTACTTGATTATTGTTGATACTTTTGTAACTTCTTCCAAATAAAAAAAAAATTAAAAAAAAAAAAAAAAAAAAAAAAAAAATGTTAGAAGTAGTTTCTACCTCTAATAATATTATCAAACATCAAGATTCTCTTCTATTTTTTTTTGAAACTAAATTCCATATATTTTTCTATTTATTTAAAGAAAAATATGTTGTTTTTGAAGGTCTTCATGTCTATTATGTCTTTTTAAAGGCTAAGACAATTTTAATACCTTGTCTAATAATTTAGCAAAAAATAGCTTTTAAAGATAATTTGGAGGATTGTTTTGGCAAAGTTTTGATCCATGTATAGAAAACATGATATAATTTATATGGTGATATATTTGGAATCTTTTATTAAATTAAAAAAAATTATTATTATTAAAAAGAATTATGTTTATATTATTGAAAAACTAATTACACTATTTAATATTATCTAAAGAAGTGATGTAACTTCAAAATAAAGAATATGATTATTAAAAAAGATAATATATCA